GAGGAGCATAGGGAATAAATACATCCTTCCTGTGCTCCTCAGCACCATCTAGTGGCCATAATAAATACTTCCCCCCTATGCTCCTCAGCACCATCTAGTGGCCATAATAAATACTTAACCCCCTATGCTCCTCAGCTCCATCTAGTGGCCATAATACATACATCCCCCCCTATGCTCCTCAGCTCCATCTAGTGGCCATAATAAATACTTATCCCCTATGCTCCTCAGCTCCATCTAGTGTCCATAATAAATACTTATACCCTATGCTCCTCAGCCCCATCTAGTGGCCATAATACTTACCCCCCTATGCTCCTCGGCACCATCTAGGGGCCATAATACTTACCCCCCTATGCTCCTCAGCGCCATCTAGCGGCCATAATAAATACTTACCCCCTATGCTCCTCAGCCCCATCTAGTGGCCATAATACTTACCCCCCTATGCTCCTCGGCACCATCTAGGGGCCATAATACTTACCCCCCTATGCTCCTCAGCTCCATGTAGTGGCCATAATAAATACTTACCCCCTATGCTCCTCAGCCCCATCTAGTGGCCATAATACTTACCCCTCTATGCTCCTCGGCTCCATCTAGGGGCCATAATACTTACCCCCCCTATGCTCCTCAGCTCCATCTAGTGGCCATAATGTGGTATTTTTCTTATGCGTCTTGGAAAGAAAAACATACTAAGAAAGTTAATTTTTGCCTCCATTCGCACCGGACGGAGGGCTCTGCGAACGGTTCATAACTACACCCCTATATCTCTCCAGGAGGCCATTTCACCGTCGGTTGTGCCTTTCACTAAACTGAAGAAAGAAGAATATTGCACATCCAGCAGGTTTTTTTCTTTCCCCCCAGAGCAAAGTCAGTGAAAAGACGACACATTCTTCTATAAAATAACCAATCGCTTTTATTGGGGCTCTGATCACATGGTATATAAACCAAAAATCACGCATGTACCTGGCGGCTTCCCCCAACGCCCACAGTACAAAACGGTCACAACTTACCATTGAAATGACGGCGGATCAGATTTTAGCATCTCGTTAATACTGTCATGTTACTAAAAGTCCATCCAAAAACCATCCCTCCCCCGTGAGTCCTCTCATGAGCCAATCAGAACCCACCAGACGTGGCGTTCCAAAGAACGGGGGG